GAAGGAGCATGCTAAAATGATTCCTAACATTCCTGTTAGAGTCCTAACAGGACTCTGCCATCTCTGTAAGTTACATTACAACTAAAGGAACATGTTTTTGCATGTAACATTTCCCTATTTTGACAGAAAAGGTTTGTGGTAAATACAATAACCACATCAAAACTTTGCTGAAAATTTTTAAAATAGGTAAAAATGGTTAATTATTAAAAGTGGTTGATATTGGAATTATCATATTTATAATCATAATTAATCTTAAAAAGAACATTATTTAAGTTTAATAAGACATCTCATTTTCCATTGGTTGGATTACCAAATTTGGTTCAGACATTCATGGTCCCCAGAGGATGATCCCTCATGACTTTGGTGATTCTCTTAACCAAAAATGACTTTGTTACACTATTAACAGTAAATATAATCATGTCCACCCATCAGACTGTAATAGTAAAACTGTAACAATAAGGGGATCTGATTTTATTCCAAGTCTACCTTAACTTCCTGCTCCCCCTGCATCCACATATGACGACATCACATTTTGGGTTTGCTGCACCTTATACTTCATTCTGCTTAACCTGGACCTGTTGTCTATGTTCGTGGAGACCATCTAGTTGTAGTAAGATCACAATACACTAATCCATGTAAAAACAAGATGGCAGCCATCTCTGCCTAGCTGATCCTGACACAAAAGTGGACAAGGTACAAGACCTGAACAAATTTTATGGTCAAAACTTGTTTATTTGTGCATTATAGCATTTATAGTTTGATATGGCGACAAATTTGACCAATTTTGGCAGTAGTAACAAGCTAAGATGCTTTTAATTAGAAAGTACTTGTTTGAAGACATTTTGGACTTAAGTATTGTATTATCGCAGTCATAGACCGCGGAACGCATCTGAACGGGGGGGGGGCATTAGGGGAGTGTCTCTGGGACACCAGAGATCACTGTCTAGCCTCCTGGAGGTGTCGTGAGACTAACAAGACGAAACACCGGTGAAAGGAGGTTCCCACCCGATGACCCCAAAGACATGTTAGTTATCACTGCTCACGGGTCTGTATAGTTAAGCCTTGCCATAATAGCTTATCGTAGGG